AGAGAGAGAGAGAGAGAGAAAGAGAACGACATACAAACAGACGGACAGACAAAGAGAGGAAACAAAATGAAATGGATAGATAGATAGAGAAGGAGCACGTTCTTCACCAAGCTTGCGTGTTATTGTTCAACTGTGACTACACCCAAACTAGTCACGGCGCCAAGTGTACCCTGTTCTCAAGAACACGAACACGTAAGAAAAACAAAAAAAAAAATAAATAAAATAAAACACACAAAAAAAGAAGATAAAAGAAGAGTTAGAGAGAAGAAAAAAGAAAAGACTCTGAACTCAATAACCCTTGTTACACCCCCCCCTCTCTACCCCCTCCCCCCCAAAAAAAAGGTAGACTCTCGCTTCCTCAGTAAATATTTAAGCTTTTGACGGATATAGACATCAAGTAGACTTCTTGCGGTCAAGGCTTATTCTTCCAGCGGCGCCGGGAACGGTGGAAAGTGGCTTCTGTTGGGCTTGACACCTGGAATTGGCTTGACATCTGGCATTGACATTGACTTTATGGAACGGGCTTGACACCTGGAATTGGCTCGACATCTGGCATTGGCATAGAGTTGACGGAACGGGCTTGACACCTGGAAGTGGCTTGACATCTGGCATTGACACTGACTTGACGGAACGGACTTAACACCTGGCATTGGCTTGACGGGACGGGGTTGACATCTGGAACTGACTTGGCGGAACGGAACTGACACCTGGAATTGGCTTGACAAAATGAAATAAAAATCTGGAATCGGCTTGACGGAACGACTTTGACACCTGGAATTTTCTTGACATTTGGCATTGATTTGACGGCACGGGCTTGACACTTGGAATTGGCTTGACATTTGGCATTGACATTGACTTGACGGAACGGGCTTGACACCTGGAATTGGCTTGACATCTGGCATTGACATTGACTTGACGGAACGGGCTTGACATCTGGACTTGGTTTGACAGAATACGATTGACATTTGGAAATGGCTTGACACTGGCGGTTTCTTGGCCCAAGGAGAGTACCAGGGGCGGGGAGGTGGGGGGATAGAGGCTGGTTGTTGTTGTTGTTTCTGCTGTTGTTGTTTGTGTTGTTATTGTTATTGTTGGTGTTGCTGCTGTTATTTTTGTTGTTGTTGTTGTTAATGTTATTGTTATTGTTTTTGTTATTGTTGCTGGTGTTGTTGTAACTTGTTTTGTTGTTGTTGTTGCTGTAACTTTTGCTATTTTTGATGTTGTTATTGCTGGTGTCGTTGTTGCTGTTGCTTCGGTTGTTATTTTTGTTGCTGTTGTTGCTGTAACTTTTGTTATTTTTTACGTTGTTATTACTGGTGTCGTTGTTGCTGTTGCTTCAGTTATTTTTGTTGTTGTTTTAACTGTAGCTGTTGTTATCAAGGTTTTCAATATACTAGCTTAAGCACCAGTATCTTCCTTAACTTAACTCTTAAAGTCATTATCGAGATGATTACCATGAAAATTATCATCATTATCATCCTTATTAACCTCCTCCTTCCTCCTTGTATCACACCCCCCCTCCCTTATTCCCCCTTCCTTGTTAATTAAGTGAATTTGTACTCAACAAAGAACACACACATATTATTCCGTGTCAAATACAACACACAAAGCCGAGAAAAAAAGCAAATTACACAACACAAAAAAAAAAATAAAATAAAAATAACGAATGTATTTTAACCTCACGCAAACAATTCTTAAGAAAAGACTTTGTTTTGAGTCACTCTACAAGCACTTTCAACTTGTGAACGGGTGTTGTCAGGGGAACAAGAACAAGCACCAACACACACGGTCGGTAATCGTATGCTTTAACACGCATCGATGACACTTGTCGACTCTCTTGGATTAGTGCTATTTTCAGTCGTTCTTACTGACGTTATGCCCGACTCCCCCCCCTACCCCCCTTTCTCTTGCTAACCCCCCTAACCCCCCCGCCTGTCTTCACCTCCCCACCCCCCTGACCAGTTCATTGCAAAGCCGTTTTTGTGAGCAATATGTTTCTCCTCGCTCGGATTTGCAATTCGGAATTCAGGAATATGATTGCAAGGTATTTAAGCAACTGAATGTTTATGTGGGGGAGGGGTATGTGTGCGTGTGTGCGTGTGTGTGTGTGTGTGTGTGTGTGTGTGTGTGTGTGTGTGTGTGTGTGTGTGTGTGTGTGTGTGTGTGTGTGTGTGTGTGAGTGTGAGTGTGTGTGTGTGTGTATGTGTGTGTGTGTGTGTGTGTGTGTCTGTGTGTGTGTGTGTGTGTGTCTGTGTGTGTGTGTCTGTGCATGTGTGCGCGTACGTGCATGCATACACATAAACGTTAAGTGCATGTAAATTCTCTTCACAACTACCTCCATACAAGTACTTTCACCCTTTAATGTAAATACCAGCGTGTGTAACTGTGCACTTTACCAAGAACCGAACAACACAAAGTGGTTCAGAACCGGTTGATTGATCATTTTACCGGACTCTCACCTTTGACACTAACATTCCTATTTGAAGACTACATTCATGAT